GCTGGCGGGGTAGAAGACGCAGCCGGATGCTGCTGATGATGATGTGGGGATCGGGGTGCTCGGCGGTCGGGCTCTGGAACAGGCTCAGGAGCGGGCTGCCAACCGGAAGGAGGCGGAAGTAGAAGACTATCGTCGAGAACAGGCTGATCATGCTCCATCTCCTCCGTCTCATGGGTATCATCGGGATCATGCGGGGGACGAGACGAGCTTGCCCGAGCTGTGGAAGCGGCTGCACTCACTTTCCTCATGTAGGCGGTGTAGGCCGGGCGCCTCGTATAATCCTCAAAGGTGTGGCGATCACAGATGAGGCCCGAGTGAGTAAGCTCGTAAGCATCAATGAACCGCATACTAGTAGGAGGCTGCCAGACGCCACCGGGTCAATGTGGAAGTGCAGAGCCAGAGCGGTCACTATATGGCCAAAGCAGGCTGCCGCTCTCTTGTTCCGAAGGACGGCCCGACACTCGTCCTTAAATATATCCAACATATCGCGGCGCTTCCCCTCGAGCATAACCCACAGCAGAGCAAGATCAAGTCCAGTGACCTTGTTGGCTTCCTTCTTCCCGAATACACCGTAGCACAAAATTTGTGCATCACAGCGACAGCACCGTCCTTGATGAGGCCATTAGCCATGCCCTGAGAGTCCCACACCGTGTCAGGAGAAAGTGCGGGCCAAAAGCTAACAAAAGAAATGCCTTCATTCATCCTAGCGCCGCTGCTGTGGAGGCCCACGACTTCTTCCATGATCTTGTCCGTGATGAGCCTCTTCGTCCCAAGCAAACGACATGTCATATACTCGGCCTGATTAGTATCTTTCCGGAACTCAAGTGTACTGAAAAATTCGAGCGTGAGGTTCCGGTATGTCGGGTGGACCAAGCGGGCATACGACTTCAAGCGTAGCGTGGCCAAGTACTGCTCGACCGTCGCCAAGATACCCAAATCGGAAAGCAAAGCGAAGTTGAACGTCTTCGACTTGAGGACCTCCTTTTTGGCGAGCCGGGAGTAAATTTCCCCCTCTCGTTCGTCGAGGATAGTAAAAGGGGCGTTGTACTGTGCCCGTAGATCGACCGGCTCGGTTTGGGAAGAAGACTCCCCTTGCGTAGACTTCCGTTTTGTGCGTTGAGTAACCATCCTCAATAGGAAGTTCTCTTGGGCAATTTATCGAACACTTGGAAGGAAGGAACTTGAACTTTAAGTGTATGTGAAGAACAAAGAGGAACTAGCCCAAAATCGACTCCACTGGCAATGGACTCCCGCAGCACCAACTGAATCAGTTCAATAGCTTCTTGAAAGAACAAGAAATTCGATTACCCGGTGCCGAAACTCGAGGGTGTTGTGCACTGTGATGTTGAAGCTTGAGAGAGACGAAGACCCGGAAAATACTATGGATTAGGCCCGAGTGTCGAGGTAAGTAGTGGTTGATCGGTTGTCGGAGTTGCTGGCTGGAGAAG